GGTGCTGGCCAGTCAGTCACTCCCTGAACCTTCACTGGGTCCATGGCAACGTGGTTCTCCGAGATGACAAGGCCCAGGTAGTTGATCTTCCGCTGCTCAAACTTGCATTTCTCCGGTTTGAGGAACAGCTTCCGGCCCCTCAGTGTGGATAGGACCTCCCGGACGACCTTCCGGTGCTCCTCCAGGGTGGGTGTGAACACCAGGATGTCGTCCATGTAGCAGATGATGACCCCTCGGTCTATGAAATCCCTGAGGATGTCATTCATCATGGTCTGGAAGGTGGCCGGGGAGTTGCACAGTCCGAAGAACATCACCATTGGCTCAAACAACCCTCGGTTGGTTGCAAAGGCCGCCTTCCACTCATCTCCCTCCTTGATGCGGACGTTGTTGAACCCCCACCGGAGGTCGAGGGCTGAGAACCACTTGGCATCCCGGAGGCGGGTGAGGATGTCGGAAACTAGGGGGAGGGGGTAGGAGTTCTTGACAGTGATCTCATTCAGCTTTCGATAGTCCTGGACCAGCCTTAAGGAGCCGTCCTTCTTCTTCACGAAGAACACTGGGGCCCCCATGGGGGATTTGGATGGGCGGATCCGCCCATTTGCCAAGTTCTCCCTGAGGAAGTCATCGAGCTCCCCTTGTTCTGCAGGGGACAGTGGGAAGGTCTTTCCTCGTGGCAGCTTAGCCTCGGGGGTGAGGTCAATGGCGTGGTCCCAAGGTTTCCGGAGTGGTAGTTGATCAAAGGCCTCTTTCGAGAAGATGTCCCTGAAGTCTCGGTAGCACTCGGGCACCATCTCCTCGAGAGGCTTTTCCCCTGGGGTGGGGTCCTGCGCTCTTTGGGCCATCCGCTGCGATGGGGTGGTGGTCGCCCTCAGGTCGTGTCCCCATCCTGGGGGAATCATGGCTGCGTACAGTCCATCCCCGGGTTCTACTGTGAGGTCAGGCTCCTTCGGAGCTATTGGCGCCACCCTGAGCCTTTGGCAGGCAGGTGGGCAGTGGGACATGATGACCTTTTGTCGGGCCCAGTCCACCTCCGGGTTGTGGTGTGTCAACCACGAGTGACCAATAATGACTGACTGGCGCCCCAAGTTGGTCACTGCAAAGCGAGCTCGCTCCGTGTGTTGACCAAACGTAAGGAGTGCGTCCACCTCCTCCGTGATGGATCCATTCTCATTTGGGGTGCCATCCACATTGTGGACCGGGATTGGTTGGGGTAGGGGGGTAGTCTCCAGGCCATGCTTCCGGACGAATTCACGACTGACAAACATCCCTGTGGCCCCTGAGTCTAGGAGGGCGGAGGTGGTCACTGAGGCGAGAGAGGTGGTTGCAGTCAGCTTCACCAGAAGGTTGAGGGAGCGAGGAGGGCGTTTGGATAGTACGTAGATCGTGGGTGGGGGAACAGCAACCTCAGCCGAGGCGCATTGTGGGTTCTCTCTGCGGGGTTTTGTGGGTGTGGCTCTTTTTTTCTTAGCGATCACTCGGTGTAACTTAGGTTGCGCTGTAGTCCTGGAATTGCCATGGTATCTACATGCAGGTACAGTGACGCTGGGGGACGACCGGGGCACATCCCTCACCGGTCGTCCTCCTGAAAATCCTCAGCAGGTCTCTCCTCCCCCGCTTCCTCCTCTGCACGGTCCAGCTCCTGGGTGAGGGGGCGGTCCTTTAGCAGGTCTGCGATCGCCCGGAGGTCTTCCGGGGCCAGGCGGGTCATCTCCCTAGGGGCCTCCCCTTGTAATGTGGCCCGGGCCTGATAGGGTCTCGGCCTCAGGCAGTCTCGGGCTATGTGCCCTAGCCGATTGCAGTTATAGCAGGGTCCAGTGCGCCTCTGCTCGGTCCTGGGGGGCGGATGCGGTCCAGGTCCATGGGTTGGGGGCCGACTTTCGGGGCTGGGGCTGAGGGTGTGGATGCAGCGGGAGGGGGAACGGGCCCGGGAGGAGGTCGGGAGTGAAATGGGGATGGCTTGACAGCCAGGGGGCGGGCTTGAGCTTGGGTGGCTTGGAATCGTCACCACTGATTGTCGAGGAGGGAGGCTTCACGCTTCCATTCTGCCCATGTCGTGGGCATGGGCCGGAGGCGATAGATGTTTTCGCGAAGGCGTGGGTGAAGGGCGTGCTCAAATCGGTCCACAAGAGCAACATCTCCCATTCGTGACACTGGGCCGTGCAGCTCAAACTGCTGGATCAGTTTGTCTACCGACTCATTCCCTTGTCGGAGTGAGGCAAGCCTTTGACGGGCTGTGGCTTGTCGGTTTGGGTCTGCAAACATAGAATCGAGTTCTGCCGCAAAGTCATCAAAGGAAATGGCTGGGGCTCCTGGGGCAAGGAGGGTGTTGACGCGTTGGGTGGCCCACGGTCCGGCAGTCCCTCCTTTCATGTATGACAGGACAAACAGAACTTGGCTGTGTTCGTCCGGGAACTCGGCATGGCGCATGCTCATGTAGAGTCCACACTCTGCCTTGAAGCGGTCTAGGTCATCTTGTGACCCAGAGAAGGGGGTAGGGGTGGCTACTTTGGGTGGCTTATGAGCCAGAGTGGGTGTAGGGGCCGGGGCTGGGGCCGTGGGTCTGGTCTGGGTGGCCAGTTGGGCCTGGAGATCTTGGAGCTGGCGGGTCAGCTCCGCTATCTGATCTTCCAGCGACATCGGGGGGATAGAAGTAGGTTGAACCCTTCTTCTGCTGTCAGGGCTCGGTCCTCGATCAGGGACAGCCCGACCTCAGGCCTAGGTGTGTGCGGTGTTCCAGGTGGTTGGGCGCTAGACCCGGTCCTTAGCTCCTCAAACTCACTGAAGGGACTAAGCGGGGATTGAGTTGTCATGTATTACAGAGGGTAACTACAACTTGCCTAAGCGGGGATTGAGTTGAGAAGAAGGGTAAGTTTCCCTATTCCCCGCTTGGCTACTATAAAAAGGAAGTGTACTGTACAGTTCATAACGTGACTCCGGGTAGAAGCCGAGCATGTTCCTGCAACTCGGAAAAGGTGTCACATGCGGGCTGAAGTTGTGAGAGGTATGTAGGAATGGGGAGGTCTGGGAAGGTGGTTCTGGGGTGTGGTTGGGTGCCCTGACAGCGGGGTCAGGGGCCGATCCCTGACAGTGCCACCTGACATGGCAGAACCCGCCACTCTTCTCAGGTTGCCTCCTTCTGATATCTCACTGATATAACATGTACCCAGAGTACTGTGGACATTCACCCAACCACGTACAGTGGGAATGCGAGAGCAGTAATGCAAACATGCGAATCCCTATTGAACAGCCCACAAACGCAGAAGACCACATAATCAGACTTGAACGAACACACGCAATGCGTTCCAGACAGCAGACAATGGCAGAAGAACACCCACCCAGTCGCCGGATGAGACACAATCTATTGACTCACCTACAATCCTAGACGAAGATGAAGACCACAGAAACGCAGACACCTTCACCAAACTGTGCATCACTGATCCATTCTTTTCTATGGGCAAAGACTCAAAGATGGATTACTCTCCCCCAATGAGGATGACAAGGGTAAAGGAAAATCACGAGATGCCTGGGCTGTGAAGTGAGTACCATGTGATGGAATCCGTCTGCTCAAACTCTGACAGTCTAACTGTTTTGGCGGTAGCTTCTATCATTGATACTCATCCCCAAAAAAGTGATTTGATCATGTCCGTATCTTGATGTCTTCTAGATGCGTCAATGGATGCCGTTTCATCTGACGACTGGGTTTGTGCTATGGTCTACTGTCTGGATTGGCACGGGACCCTCTACATCTTCTAAGGTGAAACGCTTGCAAGACTGTGTTTCGTGCGCGAGAACTGAAGAATGGTGTTAGGACCTCCATCTGATCGGACAACAAAGGAAATGGAACTCACAAATGCATCGAGGCCATTCCAATGACTCCCACCCCTTTTACAAACAATAATTCGAATCGGTCACGTTCCACCGATGCTCCGTGTTGATCGAAAGTGCTGACATCGACCAGGTATCTTCTCGAGTCATGGGGGAGGGAATGGCATGTCCTTCTGGATCCCGATGTGGATGGGAGAAGATTGTGGGACTGACTTCGGTGTGCACGGAGGAAGACCCTTCTGCGGAGGTCGAAGGTTCTGTGCTCAAGTGAAGTGAATGACGGCCACAAAGGATAACCATTGGTGCTTGTGCTTACTTTGGAATGCCTCGACAACACTGATCTTTTGGCAATCCTTAACGGACGGTGTGCGGATTTCTTTGAACATTGCGTGAACAAGACGGCAAGTTGCTGGGTAACAATCGAGAAGTAGAAAGAATGCAGGGGGAAGATAAGAGTATCACTGAGAATGGATAATAATGGGAGGACCCTGGGTTATCCAGAATTGGCAATAATGGAGGACCTTGTCATCAAACGCATTCAATCAAGGTCGAAAAATTTACAAGACCCGCTACAGAGTAGCGGGAATTACATTCTCAAAGTCAGCCCCACTTTCAGAATGAGCTCTTTCATCAGGAACCTTTGTCACTTGTTTAATATCGACCTGTCAGGCTGATGCCACCCTTCTATTCTTCCTTCCTTCTTGACTCAATGTTACTCCAGGTTCTGCAGGTCAACAGCGGTTGGACAACATAGCAGTTAACTCTTAGATTATATAGAGTAATATAAACATGTGTAAATACATGCGCTGAGGGTGCTTCCTCCAACAGATTCCGCTTACTTCTCTGTACATACTGTCAAAATGTGTGTTTGAATCATTATCTGAGAGGACCTGCTGCAATGGCTGTGCAGGTTTCAGCGATGCGAAGCACGCACTCTAGTATTAATGCCGGTCTGTAAAGCATTTCCCCAAGGTGGCAGTCTCTGTACCAACACAGACGCGTCGACCTGACCTTCCCCCACAAACCCCCAGACAACCTTTGCCCCCGAAAGCTATGGGGGTTCCACCCAAAAAAAAAAAAAGAAGAGGCAAAAAATTTTCAATAGCTTAAAATCTGGTGACCTTCCCATTCCCACGCCCACATTGGTTTCTCATAGCTCTTCCCCTACCGGAATTATGAGCGAAGACCATACCGTTAAAGGACTATCACCCTTTGATACGCAGTACGACAGCTCCAATCTGCGCGTTGTGATCATCCACACCGGATGGAACAAGGTGGTCATCGACGCGTTGCTAGTGGTGACGCTGAGGAAGCTCAGGGAAGCTGGTGTTAAAGAGGGTAACATTGTCATTCAGAGCGTCCCTGGAAGTTTTGAGCTCCCATTGGCATGCGCAAGGTATGTACTTGTTGTGTTAGGTGCGACAATGGTCGTAAAAGTCTGCGCGAAAGCCTCCACTCCACCTAAAATGCTTGTGTGTTCATTAGGGTCATATCTGCATCTCAAATCCAGGCATATTCAACTGCAACCGATCTACTCAGTGGCACGAACTCGTTATCGTCCCTTGACTCTCGTCCCAACACACCTGCCATCACTTCGTCAAAGCCGGCCAACATACCATCTCGACCATTTGATGCCGTTATCGCGATTGGGTTTCTTCTCAAAGGCCCAACGATGCGCTTTGAACACATCTCTGAAGCGGTTTCCACAGGACTCATGCGGGTCCAATTGGATAGTGGGGTTCCGATAATATTCGGAGTATTGACTGCGCTGGCGGATGTGCAGGCTGTATTCGGAGCGGGAATAGGTGGCCCGGATGGCAAGCAGGGTCATAACCATGGGGAAGAATGGGGTGCTGCTGCGGTTGAAATGGGAAGTCAAGCTCGAGGGTGGGCGCAGGGAAAATTCGCATAGGTCTAGCCCTCGTTGCATGGGTCCGGTGTCACCCTATGGGTGTGTGTTCTGGATCGCGCGTCCATGATCTATTGAGGAGTCCAATGGAAAGTTCTTTGTATCCCGTATTGTTGTAGGTTAGAGACGTGCTTTGGACTCGAACGTGGCGCGCGAGTGAGTGAGTGAGTGAGTGGATATTCAGCCTGCAAGCTTAGGCTGCTCCTGAGAACGCCGAGGCAGAGGGAAATAACAAAAATTAGTCTGATCTGAGTGTACCTGCTCCTTTGTCCGGGTAGATCGAGAATTACCGCCACAGTTCAAAAACTGATGCAATAACTTGACTCCGAATTATCGAGGAAATGTAGGAATAAAACAGACTGTGGTGCAATTTGAGGTGGCCAATTTGTTGAAAAAAAGGACAAAAAACTGTACTCCGGAGTGGAATTGAGACAAAAAATGGTCTCAAAGCAATGAGTCATGAAGATTCAGATTCTCCTTAATATGGCGGCTGTACTTTCGAACCGCCTATTTGGCTTTGATTCCCATTAAATATGACCATATTCCGTACTGTGAGAGAACTAGCGTTACAAACTAGTGCTCAGTTCACGATAGTGTAACTAGATTATCCAAAAATATTAAGATAGACGACGTTCATAAGTCGGGGAGGAGTGGTGGTATAGTGGTAACACCCACCAATCTACTCTCTCACTGGCGTTTGCCAATTGAGAGGACGTTGGTTCGACTCACCTGTTGGGAGGTTGTCATATCCGTGCATACCCGATCCCGACCCGACTTCCGGACCTCCTCCTTCCCCACCTCCTCCTTCCCACCCTACCGCTGTCCGCTCCGATATTCACCTTCGGACCTGACAACTCTCCTTTCCGCCACTCCTTCCCTCTTCCCTTTCTCCTCTCTCTTCCCTCTGGTACTCTTCCGCCAACCTCCTGCCAAGTTACGACCTTCCACCACTGTCCCATACTTCTTACTCAGGCACCGCTCGTACCTTTGCTCCAAGCCTCCGTCATAGTTCCTACCTCGGACTTTGACTCCACCTCAGTCTTAGTCCATTGCATTGGTGACCTCATACTACGTAAACACCATTGCCAATATTCCTCAGACTTTCAACCCCACCTCTGTAACCTCCATAACCTCTGAGCTCCATGGATCACCTTCGGCACTTTCGCCGCTTGTAATGTATCACTTGCATTTTCCCCTCATCCCTATTTGGACTGCTGCTTCTTCCCATTCTAGCCAGTTAGTCATCATCCCCACTTCTCCTCATCCTCCTGCCCCTCTGGGCCTCACCCTCCTTACCTCCTTTCGGATGTATCACAGGTTCTGCCTTATCACCTTCGGTACTGCTCTGCTTCTGTCATCCCTTTGTTCCCATTTGGACGCCTTCATTCCGATTCGGATCCCCTTTGTTTCCTTGTGCTTTCGCCCCCTCCATTATATATATCGGTGCTTGTACATACTTGTTTTGGGCTCAGTCCGAAATCGACCTGAAATGCCCCCTAGAGACTTCCTGCTTCCCTACTGTGAAATTAAGGACCAAATGGACAAACAGCAATGGCACAGCGCTCCGCTTGAGTCACTGAGGCCAAGGTCCTCCCACACTAAGTCTCCGATTCCACTCCAGAGTCATCTGAATCCGCCCGTTCTAACAGAGGTCGCAGTTCTCCAAAGTCTCAAAGGCACATGTTTATGTGTCCAGCCAACAAGCCGAGGAGCCAGTCTCATGATCACTTGATCACCAACTTCTCCACTACCGATATAGAAAAGGTTCATATCATATGACTAAGTCTTCTATTCACTACCTGAAAGGGGCCTCTCATGGGCACAACTGGCCAGGAGTTAGGAGTTCAATTGGCATGGACCCAGACGTTCTATAAGGGATCACTTGCAGCATAACAGGCTCATGTGATATGGTCTACCACTGTCACAATTCAGAAGAAGTTGGATTGTTCAGTTGTGAATCCAGGCATTGGCGAACAATGTTGATGTTATCTGGGAGCTTAGAATCATGTGGAACTTGAGTATAGAAACATGTATGATAATATCCCTTGGGCCTCACCCCTTCCCCTTGGCACCTTAATCAGGCAGCCTATATCTGGGAAGTAAAATATCGAGAATTCACACACACACACACACACGTTCATAAGTCATCACTATCTGGAAGCAAATCATGGTACAACTTGCACCTCACCTCATCCCTGACACTGTACTTTTGATGCAAATGTAGAACTGAGAAGTTGTAGAAATGATACCACTTTATGACTTCTTGGTGTGCAAACTTCAATATCTATCATTATCATCAAATGAATGAGGAGCAAAATACTTGTGGATATCAGAATCAAGAATATCTTTCAACCCCAACATGAATTTTGCAATCAAAAAAAAAATGAACAGATTTCAAGTTGGCCGGTTATGCTGAGTAGAATTGAATTGAGGAGACTGCCAAATACAAAAAATTATTCATTGTTCATTCCATTTTCCCTCTGCATGCAAAGCACTATTGTGCAAATAATGGAGAGAAGGTGATGTGCTATTTAATCAAATTCTGATGGGCAATCAAAATATAAAGGGTGTCACAGACTCCTACCTGAGGTAATGCAGGAGAATTTTCCCCTAGGAATACATAAATAGTATATTTAACATATATAAACACATGGTCAGTCAGGTGAGATCAAAATGATACACATGAATTTCTTGGCCCCTCCAGCTTGCCACGGAAATATTGGCCGCTTGTGACCTGCACTGCCACATTCGGCAATTGCCACCATAGTGATGACTTATGAATGTCGTCTATCTTACCTAGCATTACAAACTAGCACTAGACCATGAAGGTCATTGAATAAAGGTCTAATGAGACCAAGAAATGAGACCTCACCTCAGTTCACAATAGTGTAACTGAGGAGAGAAAGAAAACAGTCATGATGAGTGGCTTTTAAGCCTACAATGCTGCCTATCAACAAGAAGGATAAACTAGGAATAATCAGACTCCTTAAATAAGAAGTAGCAGGAAGTTGCAGTTAAACTTCGAAAATTCAGATAAGACCCTCAGTGAGGAAGCAACTGGTCATGTGAGAGTCCAAAAATTCATGGTAATTCATTTTGAAACTGTCAGGGCACAGCCCTTGACCCCACTCACCCTCAGACACCCACACCCTTTCCCTAACCACCCTCTCCCCACATTTCCCCATTCCCCCTATCCTTCCCCCCACTATTTCACACAATGATGCATGCACACAAACCCATTATGGAAAGTCGGCAGCAAGCAGGAACTGTATAGTTCCTAGGGTCCTTTTGTGTCAGCCTCACAGGGGGCTGAGAAGCTTACCCTTCTTCTCAGCTCATTCCCTGTGAAGGCTGAGGCTAGTCCCCTCAGCGACTTCGAGGAGTTAACAGCCAGGGAGAGCACCCCAGCTTCCACACCTGGCCTCCCCCTCTGGCCACTCCCAGCTGGGGTCCGGATCCTGACAGAAACTAGCCAACAGCAAGATCATCCCCTGACAACTTGGAACAGACCAGGAACAATAAGAAGCTGAGGAACAAACAAAACACAGCTCTGTCAATCTGTCAGAGACAGGCCAGACCAGGACCACACTGGAGCCTCTTTGCCAAAAGGCTGACATTGACTGACCACTCAGTCAACTTGGATCCTGGTATTTATACAGGTGCTAAGATGCCACTTTTGCACTACTGTCACAGCCATGCATTCTGGCCCATTCCCGGCCTGTCCCAATGCTGCCTGAGCCCATTCCCACTGCACAAGCATGAGTGCGAGCCCCAACCTCAGCCCTGTCCTCCTTGAGGAGTCCCTACTCACTCCCCCACTTGCCCCTTGACTCCCCACAGCTGCACCAACCTCCCTGCCCTGAGTCTGCCTCCAGCCCTGCACCTGGCATGACTCCGCAACATCACCTATCCTGCCAACTTGGCCTTGTAGGGGCCACTACCATTCCTGCACCTGACTCTGGCCCAACTCCGAGTCCAGTTACCACTGCCACTTTCATGGCCCTATGTTCTTTCCTTTTGTTTACCTATTATTGTTTGTTTTGACCCTCGGTCATTGCTGGCCACTGTGCAGCCAACTCTGCTCCTTGTCTCTATTTGCTTCCGGACCTTTGGCCTTCAGCCCAGGTCTGCTTCTATTCTTTCTCTCTTCCTATTTATACCCTGTATGATACATTATTGTACCTTAGCTCTAACATCGACTTGATCATGCCCCTTGAGTCCTGACCCCAACAAGGCAACCCCAGCAAGTCCGAAATGAGGGCCAAGAGAAAACTAGGGGGCACAGCACTCCCTTAGAGTCGCTGAGGCCAAATGCCCTACCCCTCGGGCCTTGTTCGCGGCATCATGGACCATTGCAGACTATCACATCCCACATTGGTGACCCTCACTGCTGACTCTGGACCCGTATCTAACACAATCTCTGAACCAACAGACCCACATAGTGTTGATGCACCCCACTGAGATGTCAGAGATGTCAGATACCATCTATTAGTTGGGTATCTGCATCAGCAAGCTTCACCCTTAAATACATGTGTGAGTGGCAATGTGTCAGGATCCGGACCCCAGCTGGGAGTGGCCGGAGGGCGAGGCCGGGTGTGGATGCTGGGGTACTCTCCCCAGGTGCTAACTCCTCGAAGTCGCTGAGGGGACTGGCCTCAGCCTTCACAGGGAATGAGCTGGTATTCATTGAAAAGCGGGTAAGTACACTTGCCTTCACAGGGAATGAGCTGAGAAGAAGGGTAAGCTTCTCAGCCCCCTGTGAGGCCGACACAAAAGGACCCTAGGAACTATACAGTTCCCGCTTGCTGCCGACTTTCCATAATGGGTGTGACCCGTGGGAAAGTTCTGGGCAAGCTGCTCGCCCAGAATGTTCCCACGGTTGTGGCTGTACATTTCTGGGCAAGTCGCTCGCCCAGAACGTTCCCATGGGTTTGCGTGCATGCATCATTATGTGAAACAGTGGGGGGAAGGATAAGGGGAATGGGGAAATGTGAAGAGGGGGT